TTTTCCAATACTGTCTGTGGAATGTATTTGTAGTATGGTTCGTGAATGTCTACCAGTTTGTGTTTCTTTGCAAGCTCTTGGTGTATTATATTTGCTACTTGATTGTGTCTGTGTAAATAATCTGTCTGTGCCAAGAGCTTGCAACCAGAAGTGATGTGTTGTATAGTTTCTGGCATGATGTGACATTTTCTGCATGTGTTATTTGTGAGTGTTGTATCTTTGAGTATGTGATTTCTGTAGTTTTCAGTATTTATGACCTGATTATTATAATTTTGATTATTATTATTATTATTATATTATTCTAAATTCATTGTTTATAACTAATAATAAAATTACTGTTAATTAAGTAATAAATACAATAAATTCATGAAAAAAATACCATTAATACCTTTATATAAATAATTAATCCAAAAAAATATGATTTAAGTCAAAAAAACTAGCACAAATTACAAAATCTCCACATAATTGAATATCAACATTTGCATAAAACCACATTTGTAAAAATGAATACACAATACATTATTTTGCATAATAATTAAGCAACGTCAATAAAGATGCCCTCTACTTTTTTCCTCAAAGCACCTTCATCAAGATTACCGGTAGCAAGGTGATAGGGGTTACCTAAGTATACTTTAACCCAATATTTTACTGAAAGTGTTTTGCAATTGATCTAGTTTTATAATGACATAATTGAAACAAGAATCAAAAGATCACATCAATAGCAGTAGATGGTGATAGTGCTTACCATTATGGGTATGTTTGTAAAGTTGAATGAATTAAATGTGTTAGTAACGAATTGTTCTAAAAGTAGTAGTCTTGCTCAGTGTGCATTCTCTGTGGTGATGATATTTCAAACAAAACTCTAAGGAAGCTCATGAAGGAAAGAGTTAATTCACTTCATTAAGAAAATGGTGGATGATGATATTGATGTTTCTAAATCTATCTGACTGTTTAAACTGTGAATTAAAAGATGAAATGATAGAAATAACTGTCCACTTGAAGCAATCTAAGAAAAATATTTTGAATGAGGCTGCACTAGCAACATTCATATCTTTGATTTTAGAAACAGTCATTTAGTTATAAACGAATCATTCGAAAAGTCTAACAAAATAAGAATAACGATGACGTTATTCTTGTTTAGCTCGTTTGACTTTACAAATATACCCTATGTTTTCCCAAGCAGCTTGATTAAAAACATCCAAAAATTACAAATTTACATAGTGAGGAGCATAAAATATATTAAATAAAACATAGAAAATAGGAATAAATAATTAACAAGAAAAATATTAAATACAAAATAAAATAATAAATAAATAAATACAGCGATATATAGAAATATTGCCAGTAAAAACAGTTTGACAAACAAATAATTTACATATTTTAAAAATATTAAAATGAATACATAAATTAAAAAATAAAATAAAACAAATTACATATGTTATTAACAAACATTAAGTCTAGCTTTGTCGTCTTGCCTCGTTTGGTTATCAACTAAATTATTTGTTTGTTGAATTTTTAAAATATGTAAATTCTTTGTTTTTGAATTTTGTAAATTTAAAATAAGCTGTTATGATTATGCCATTAGAACTCAGTTTTTTTTTAGTTTGTAATTTAATGTTTTTTTTAACATGAGGCAGACCTCTGAATGGGTCAAAAACATTTGTTTTGATTAACCTTTTGCTGGAAAATTGTATAAGGTGTAGTGTTATTGGTTTTGCTTCAATTCTTATTTTTCAAAACAGCAATAAGAATCAAAGTTGAGAATAATCATTATAAATCATTTTTTCATTCTGCTTTTCTTTCTGCATCTATCTGAGTTAAAATTAGGTAGCAAATAAGAACTGAAAGATTGATTGTGGAATTTGTCATTGGATATTATGAACATATATATTATTTTTGTTTTCTGAATTTATTTAAGAATTTATGTATTATTTGATAAATAAAACAAATTAAGCAATATGACAAAAAGACCATTATTATGGCATCTGTATCTTCTGCAAATGAAATTTAGTAGATTTACTCTCAATATTGTTTTTTGATTTTGCTTATTTTATATACATGTACAATGAAATGAAATATAAAAATAACATTTTAATGTTCAAGACAGTATCTTCTAAGCTGCATATCAGTAAAAGTTTCAGATATATGGCGTAGGTTATGCAAAGATATAATTTCTATTATAGTAGATTTCTGCAGAATAAGTGCTGTTATTATTATACACTATTGTGAGTTATATGCACAAAAATACAATATCTCTAAATTTTATGAAACATTTTGTTTATTTTGAATTTAACATAATGTTCAAAACACTTTTAATTCAAATTCCTTAGTGATTCAATGGGAACAAATCATTTTATTACAAAGAAACCATGTAACTTAATAAGTGAACTCAGATTTTATCTCTAATGGACGAAGAGGTTGGATCGGTCATGGACTTTAAAAGTATGTATCTATCCATAAAGTTAGATTCATGTTATGGCGCACTAATTGACACCTTATGCAATTTGAACCCACATGTGTCGGCCTATCCTAGGGACATAGAGATGCTGGCAAACCTCATATGTTTTCAATCATTCTTCAGTTTTGAAGGTATACAGTAGAACCTCGGTATACGACCTTAATCCATTCTTGATGATTGAACTTACACTGAATTAAATATATACCAAACCAACTTTTCCCATAAGAAGTAATGTAAAAATGATTAATCCGTTCTCATGTGAAAAAAAAATGGCTGGCTTTAAACACCTGGCTTTCCTGGCTAGTTCGTGCTTGATTTTTCATGAGATCAGCATGTATCTTTTTAGCTTTCTCGCAAATANAATCCTACAATTTTTTGTTTATAGCATCGTTTATATGGATTATTCCCAAAAAATTATACATATTTTGGAAATGTTGAGTCAAATTAGTCTAGAATAGATTAATTTTACAGAAGAAAACCATTCAAACAGCCATAGTCCCTAAACTGTATAAGTGTCGGGCTGTGATCGGCTCATGTATTTAAGTGACTCGTACAACATGGAATTCATAAAACACGGAACATATCTACTGTGTTATAGGGGGTCGACTGTATTCATGTAATTATATATAGTAAAACCTGTGTAAACTGGAATTGCATAGTACCAAATTAATTTTTTTTGTTTTGAACAGGTTGTAGTATTTTTCTTTTTAAACTATATCGGATAAATGTCACACAGTTCATTTTTAATAGTAAAATCATTTTGTCATAGGAAAATTGTTACTAGGCTTAATTCAAAGCAACTGCAACTAAAGATGTACTGTACATATTTAAAAGCAAGAGTTAAGAACTATTTGATTTAAAAAGTTCTTGTTGTTTCCAAGAACTAGTGCTAAGAATTTTAATACTTCCTAGATACAATTCTTACAGTATGAGCTCATGTGATAACAAACAAGTCAATTCAAATAACAAGAACTTGTCTCATTTTTCTGTCAGAAATTTTAATGGCATTATAGTAATATAGAGTCCGAGTTATTCTGTGGTCTGACTTTTCTAGAAATTTTAATACTTTAATTAATGATTTGCTTTAATCTTTGTAATTATCAACATTTTAATCAACTTGTTTTCAAATACTCTGTACTAATTAGTTATCAACTAATCCATACAAAACAGATTGGCAGTACTTTATTGATTGCTCTGGAAAATTTTAAAAACTTGCCAACCATTTCACCAGTTTTAAATTATTTTTGCCACTTCCAAATTATTTTTTTCTACCAGTTTTACTTACTAATTATTGCAGATGCTGGTAGTTTTACTTTGGGGTCAGGAAAGCAAAAATAACATTAATATGTTAATCTGTCACTTAGAAATAGGAATCATTTTTGAATAATTTTTTAATGAATAATACCAAATAACACATTCAATCACAGTACTTAAACAGTATTTCACATGTTCTGTCATATCAAAATTTTTATGCTATGCTTTAGTCTACTGAGTAAAGATTAAAGTAAAAAATGTCACACCAAAAAAATCTTCAATCTGGAAATGCTGGGTGGCATTGCATGAAAACTACCTTTGGTTCTGTGGGGTTCGGGGGCTGTAAAAGGTTTATTACGTTCTTTTTTAGGTAGAGTCCTGCCACCAGGTGTGTTTTATCGGACACACCACCGTTTGAGATAAAATGGATGATTAAGGTGCGAGGGTAAGAGTCACTCTTAAGTCCAGGAATGAGCCTCTCAGGAGGAAGAATGCAGAGTCAGATATAACCAATTTAAGGACATTTATTAACACAAACAAAAGTTTAGAACAGAGTTATAAAAACTGAGTTTGGAAATTTGCCTATTCTTATCTATTCAACGAGGGGGTACCTAACAAGGGGGTATTTCGAACTTACGCGACTCACAACATACCAGATAAACAAGATGTCTTCTTTTGTGACGTTGACTTGACGGCCAAGACTGCGGAGGTTTCTGGTGTTCACTGCACTTCGTCTGGTTCTTGCTTGTTTTGAGTTGTCTTCTCTTGAGCCACTCTTTCTCGGGTTGGAGCTGTGTCCACAATTGCTGACTATTTCGCTGTTTCCTTCTAACTGTCTTTCTAACGGGACCGTGTCCTCACTCTGACTGCCTTTTTCTGACTGCACTGTATCTCCCCTCTGACCATACTGCTTCCAACTCACTGTGTCCTCCTCTCTGGCTGAACTGCTTTTTCTTTTGTTGGGGCTTTCCTTTTAAACCCTTTCAGCATGAGAAAGTCATCATCGGGTGATGACTCATTTGCAGTGTCATCATTGTAGCTGAGACAGTGTTTTCTTATTTGGGGATGACTTGCAGCTTTCTTAGAGTCATCTTCTAAGTCGACATGACTCATCTTTGTTCTTAGTCATTGTTCATTGCTTGCTTTGACTAAGTTCTTCATGTAAACATTGCCGAAAACAAAGGGGGATGCAATGTTCCTAATTTCTATATAATTTTTGATTATTTGGTTGCTTTTTCCTCTTTTCTTTGGCATGTTGTGAGATTTTGAATGATAAACCGTTTTATTCTAATTACTTGATATTAAAAAGGGGGTCCCTAGATTTGTAAAATAGGCGAATTTCCTCTTACAACTTCGGTTGTTATCCAAGATACAATTAAGGTTCATGTGAATACATAATAAAAAAAAGATATAAAGTAAATAAACAAAAATTATTACAAATAAGTTTACAATATATATATATATTTTTGGAGGGCGGTGGTGGTCCTCACAGTTCTCAACATCACTTCCTGCTTTCTTGTTTGAATTTGTCACATGACATCATGGCATGGCATTTAATTTTCTTATTTGTAGAAATTTTTGAAGCCTATGAAACTCAAGGCCTTAAGCAAAAAAGTAACATAGCTTTCTTGTAAATATAGCCCTGATGGGACAGATGTCAAAAGAGCACAATTGTATAGAACAAATCACGCTCATTTGTTTCTATAATATCATATGTAAAGACATGTCCCGCTAGCAATAATTGTTCTCCTATAAATTTCTTGATAAATAGCTACAAGTAGCATATGTCATTATATCGGACTGTAATATATGATTAATTTTATGTTGACTAGTTACAAACAACCCAGATACAAGGTCCTAGATCTTGACCCAGATAAAGTAGCCGTTTTGTAAAAATGCAGTGCCATCTATAGTTTATGAAAAATGCAAATAGTAAAATTTAACAGAAAAACATTCTGTTCTGATAAACTTTTTCTGTTTAGGCAGGTTTTCTTTTTATTAAGGTTCTGTTTACACAATTTTACTGCATTTACTATATTTTTTTTGTTTTGGAAAAGATTATTGTAACAAATTATTTTTATTTTATCTCTTTTTCATTTCTCAACTTTATTATATATAGATCCTATGAATAATTTTTTTACTTTATTCCACATTTCCACATTTATATTATTACACATTGAATTATTGAATTATACTTATACAATTTAACATTAATTTGTTAATAAAAAAATGTCATTAATATTTTTAATTTCAGATATGAGAACTTTAAGAACAGAAGATGAAAAAGTTGAAACACTAGAATTAGATTTATCATCTCAACAACTTTCAAGTTTACCAGATTATTTATTAGATCTTCAAAATACTACTTCATTAGATCTCAACTTTAACTATTTATCAACAATTCCTGGAGCTTTGTGTAATAAACTCAAAAAGTTGACTTGTCTTTCAATTTCTGGGAATGGCATAACTACATTACCAAATAATATTGGAGATTTAACTGAATTAACAGAATTGCATTTGAGTGAAAATACATTACATGAATTACCGTCAAGTTTTTCACAACTTAGCAATTTAAAAATTCTTAATTTAATGAGTAATTTACTTCAAGCGTTTTCTTGTGTTAATGGTTTACATTCTCTGACAGAATTAATTTTAGATGAAAATTGTATAACATTTCTTCCCGAGAATATTGATTGTTTGGTGAATTTACAGCGATTTGAAGCAAGTTATAATTATATTAGTGCCTTACCTGAAAGCTTTGGGAATCTTTCTAAATTAAAATGTTTAAATTTAAGCAAAAACTCAATACAGGAATTGCCAGATTCATTTAATAATTTATCATCACTTGTAGATTTAGATTTATCTGATAATAAATTGAATATTTTACCACAAAACTGTAAATCATCACATTTGTTAGAAAAAATTTTTTTAGACAACAATAATTTAGTTGCATTACCACTATGGTTTAATAATTTAAAATCTATTATGCATATATCCCTTAAAAATAATAGTATTAAAGGTATGCCATTTTTAGAAGATTTTGGAAATGTGAGCAAAAAATTGAAACATTTTGATTTAGGAGGAAATTGCATTGATACTTTACCAGAGAGTTTTGGCAATTTGGAAAATCTTGATTTTATTGATATGGGAAGTACAGCTGATGAAGTGGAACGATCAAGACATTTACAAAATGGAAATTTCCTTAAATGTCTTCCAATGAGTTTTGGAAAATTATTTAATTTAAGCCAATTATATTTAGATGAAAACTCTATAGAAAGTTTACCAGAGAATTTTGGAGATCTTGTAAATTTGCAATATTTGGATCTTTGTCATAATAATCTTCTTTATTTACCTGAGAGTTTTGGAAAATTGCAATCTCTTGAAGTTTGTTTGTTTTCTATTAACTATATTGAATGCTTACCTGAAAATTTTGGACAGTTACAGAAGATGACAGAATTAAGGCTTGATGATAATCGAGTATGTATGTTTTTAATTTATTCATTAATAAAACATTGTATTAGAAATTTTTTATAAAAATATTTTGTAATGAAGAATTATATAATAAATAGATATGAATGAAGATTATTATTAAGACTGTTGAGTATACTAAAAATATTAATCTTGAGTTAATCTAATTTTCAGTCCAAAATTTTAAGTCAGGTAAATTTGATGTATTAAAAAATTAAGATGATTCAGATGTAAATAATATGGGTGCAGATGGTGCCACAGTTGTTTTTTGCCAATTTGCAATTATCCGTAAATTGGATAATTTGAGGTGACATTGGATATTTTTCTAACCCTGGGGAAAATTTGATAATTTTGGATGTTTTTAGAAAACCTGCTAACTTGTTTTAATATAAGTATTTAAAAGTCCCATAAGATCACAAATTGGCTACTTTTCATATGGTCAAAGAAAAAAAAAGGGGGGCTATGATAACAATATAGACTTTAGTAAATGTTAATTTTGTTTTTCTTTTTTCTTTTTAATTTTGACATTAAAATTAACTTTTCTAAGCCATTACATTTGACAGCTAGATGCTGAGGTGGTTAAGGTAGTCAGCCTACTGCAACGGGGACCAGGATCTAACCTGGTTGAGCAACCTCAAGAACTTTTTATGGGCATTTTATCATAAGTAGAAAAAGACAAAAATGGAAAAAAGGGCCTTATGTTGTATTCTTTTAGATAATTTTGGACACTAATGTTCAGAATTGAATAATTTTATTTATTTCCAATGACAATATTGCACAACTTGCTAAACAGTGGTCTTGGAAAACTAAAGACAGCCAGATTTAAATCATTAAAGCTGCTAACTTTGAGGATCTGACATCAATGAGACAGCATTAAAATTTTTCACATCACTCAAGTAAATATCTGTTGTATTTATACACATCTGTAGACCTCTAGTGGAAATCTGGGAATTTATTGTACTTAGCATATTTATATAAATTGTAAAATTCCAAGGATTAATTCTGTTTTAAACTTTAATCCATACTCAGATTCTTTGTACATTGTATATCAAATACACCTTAATACCGAGCAACTTTGTTTATTACGTTGAACAAACGTTTTCAACCCACTCAATGGGTCATCATCAGGTTATTGATGCTATACGAACCTTTACACTAGTTTGTTTCAATTGTTCCCATTGAATCGCTAAGGAATTTGAATTAAAAGTGTTTTGAACATTATGTTAAATTCAAAATAAACAAAATAGAAACCATCTAAATAATCCATTAAATACCAAAATTGAAGTAAACAAACAAACCATAATAAAATAAATATAAATATAACAACATAGGATTTTTACATTGACAACGTGCTCTGCATTAAATTATGAGCTTTCTTTGATTATGTACTTCTAAGCTGAAGGTAAAATTGTGGCATCCTTATAGTTCAAACATTTTCCAGTTAGGCTAGATTTATAGATTTTTCACTTTTCCAATGATAACGTCATGACCAATGAGCCCTCTTTCAACTTCGTCTATGGTGTTGCTCCATAGTTATGGAACCAATGAGCCCTCTTTCAACTTTCAACACAGTGGACTGGTGCAACACCATAGCCAAAGTTGAAAGAGGGCTCATTGGTCATGTTGACGTTAGTAAAGATTATTTCCGATGGAAAACAACACTTAAACACAGAAGCTACAGGACTCAGCCATTAGAAAGGAATAGCATCAACCATACAAGAAAATGGTTAAATGATAACAAGTTAGTATTAACAAGGTCAGATAAGAGTAAACATTTGGTATTAATGAAGAAACAAAGATACTAGGAAATGTTGGAGAACTATATAGAAAAAAACTGAATGTGTAAGAGTTGATCACAATATCGTTGATAAAGTAGATAGAAAAGTGAAGAAGTTATAGAAATCACCCATTACCTCACTCTTCCCTTTCCTAAAACAATCACATATCACTGGCCCAAGTATACCAATATTATTCGGATTTACGAAAACACATAAAAACAAGGAGATTAGACTAGTAGTTGAAAAATGTAAAGGGCCAATGTATAAGCTAGAGAAGCATCTGCATAAATTTTTATCGGATCAAATTGGAGATTATCATTTTATTACAAAGAAACCATGTAACTTAATAAGTGAACTCAGATTTTATCTCTAATGGACGAAGAGGTTGGATCGGTCATGGACTTTAAAAGTATGTATCTATCCATAAAGTTAGATTCATGTTATGGCGCACTAATTGACACCTTATGCAATTTGAACCCACATGTGTCGGCCTATCCTAGGGACATAGAGATGCTGGCAAACCTCATATGTTTTCAATCATTCTTCAGTTTTGAAGGTATACAGTAGAACCTCGGTATACGACCTTAATCCATTCTTGATGATTGAACTTACACTGAATTAAATATATACCAAACCAACTTTTCCCATAAGAAGTAATGTAAAAATGATTAATCCGTTCTCATGTGAAAAAAAAATGGCTGGCTTTAAACACCTGGCTTTCCTGGCTAGTTCCTGCTTGATTTTTCATGAGATCAGCATGTATCTTTTTAGCTTTCTCGCAAATAATTGCTTCTGATAAGCTGTTTCCAGCACACTGTTTTTCAGTTATCCAAAGCAAAAGCAATTTCTCAACATGATCTAATGTCTTTGATCTCTGTTTAGAAATTGATTTAACCCATTTTGCAACATTAGCAGATTTAATAATGTCTTTATTTTTCACGATTGTCAATATCATCGTTCTCGGAATACGGTATGCAACAGTTAAAATCTCGAACACGCATGCCACTTTCATATTTTTAACAATTTCTTTTATCAGTTCCATTGTGATCTTAGTCATGTTTTTAGTTTTCTGTTGCTTTTCATTTGCCTTTTTGCAATTCATGATTAATAAAAATAATAAAATTTTACATACAAATTAAAAATCGGAAGAAATTTAACAAAGTTATAAACTGTTGCACCGCAAATGTCTAGTCTGGTGTAGTACACCGATAGTGCTACTTGTTCATAGATGGTGCATATAATTGAATTAAGTAGTATACCAAGCGAAATTTGTTTCGTCCAAACAGGATGTATTCCGAATCAGACGTATTCTAAAGCAGACGTATACCGAGGTACCACTATAGTTTATAAGCAAATGAAAGGGGTTCCGATGGGCAGCCCGATGTCCAGCTTACTTTGTAAGTTAGTTTTACGCGGAATAGAACAGAGCATGATTACGAATTTTAAGCAAGACATAATCCTAAATAAAAGGTATGTAGATGATGTGCTTATTTTATGGAGGAATGGTACAAGAATACACCATTTTTTGGATGAAATCCAATTTTTTGGATTTTTTGGATGAATTCCAATAATGATGGTTTGAAGCTTAAATTGGAGCAAATTAGCAATATGGAGATATATATTTTAGACATTGGTATTGCATTCCATCACGGTTCTCTAAGCACGAAGGTATATATCAAGCCCACTCATGACCCATTATACATCCCGTTGACCTCCAATGATCCACATACCTATAAATTCTCAGCCTTTAGATCTCTGATTAAGAGGGCTTTCCAGTAATGCTCCAATGTATACGACAGACTAGAAGAACTAACTAGGATTAGGGATATTGTTACGGAACAAGAGTCATTGAAGAATTAATTAGTTCTTACACAGATCCTAGAAAAAAGAAAATGAAGAGTATCACTAAACTCACATACAACAAAGATCTAACTGGCATTATGAAGGAGATTGCGAAATACAAAATCACGACACTACTATACAAAAAGGCTCCCACAATATATAACTTACTCAGGAATGACAAAGATAAGATCAAAAAGGAAGAACAAGCAGGCATGTACACGATACCCTATAAGAATGACCAATTAGATCTCAACAAGGAATATATAGGTGTCACAACCAGAAAACTAAACAAAAGAATCAAGGAGCAAAAGTACAACATAAACAAAGGACACTATTCAACAGTGTTATTGAAGGTAGCACAAACAGATGGGTCCATAGTCGAATGGGTGGAAGCCAAAATTATTGCTAATAATGAACAACTGCACATCAGAGTTAACTAAACAACATATACCTCAGAAACCTTTAACCGATGCAAAATAAAATTTCACACTACAAACATAAAGACGGTGAACACACTGGTGCAAAATTATTGCACCAGTGCGTTCACCGTCTATGGCGTTAACATTGGAAAAGTGAAAAATCTATAAATCTAGCCTAACTGGAAAATGTTTGAAATATAAGGATGCCACAATTTTACCTTCAGCTTAGAAGTACATAATCAAAGAAAGCTCATAATTTAATGCGGAGCACGTTGTCGTTGTAAAAATCTTATGTTGTTATATTTATATTTATTTTATTATAGTTTGTTTGATTAGTTCAATTTTGGTATTTAATGGACTATTTAGATGGTTTCTATTTTGTTTATTTTGAATTTAACATAATGTTCAAAACACTTTTAATTCAAATTCCTTAGTGATTCAATGGGAACAATTGAAGCGAACTAGTGTAAAGGTTCGTATAGCATCAGTAACCTGATGATGACCCATTGAGTGGGTTGAAAACATTTGTTCAACGTAATAAACAAAGTCGCTCAGTATTAAGGTGTGTTTGATATACAATATACAAAGAATCTGAGTATGGATTAAAGTTTAAAACAGAATTAATCCTTGGAATTTTACAATTTATATAAATATGCTAAGTACAATAAATTCCCAGATTTCCACCAGAGATCTACAGATGTGTATAAATACAACAGATATTTACCTTAGTGATGTGAAAAATTTTAATGCTGTGTCGTTGATGTCAGATCCTCAAAGAAAAGGTTGACATCAATTGTATATTGCATGTGTTTTTTAATATCATGTCATTGGTGTCTAAAGTTTTTCTGTCTCTAGTTGGAATATTAAAAAGGATTTGAACTGATCCAGAATTATTTGTATGATCAAAATTGTTTAAAAACAGAATTAATCTTTGGAATTTTACAATTCAAAATTAAATTTACTTAAATTTAATTAAATAATTGATATAAGTGATTGTATGTTAATCATTGACTAAATTGCAATTATTTATATCATCTATAATGTGTGTAGCTTCTTAGTAAAATTGTTTTAAATTTATTAATATTAGTAATATTAGCTTATTTTTTTCTTTTCTAGTTATGTGAATTGCCAAAGTCATTCTGTGAACTTCAAGAATTAAGAACATTAGATTTGTATAAAAATAATCTTAAAGAATTACCTAAGGCATTGAAATTTTTGACAAAATTGAATCGTTTAGATATTTATGAGGTAAGATTCAAAGCACATTATTATTTTATTCTGAATAACAAAAATTTGTTGAAAAGATGATTAATAATGTTTTGATTTAAAATTATTTTGGTTGTTAGATACAATATATTTAAATGATATACAGTAGATCCCCCTATAAAACCGTTTCCTATAGTTATGATTCCTATAAAAATTGTGGCAGTATCCGTAAACAACGGTAAAAATAACTCCTATAATACGTAAAACGTCATCGGGCAGCCGAACTACTTTCCCACTGTCCGTAGCGCCACGCTACGGAGAGATTTCTATCGTCTGGACAGTATTATATAAATTATATATAAATTAGGTACTGTACATATAATTATATATTAATTATATATAAATTAGGTACTGTATATATAATTATATATTAACTTAATTTATTGTAACTTTATTATAATTAAATATATATTTTTCGCCGTCTAGCGTCACGCTACGGCGAGTTAGGCGACCTATCGTCTGTTCAGTACTGTAATTTTATACATTTCTTGTGAAAGAAACATTTCTTATTTAACGGCCATAAAAATTATTTATATTAAGGATGTCTCCAAAGGTCAACGAAGTTTTCGCAGAAAAATAATATCAGAAATCGCGGCCGCGGTTTGATGCGCTGTTCCGCGACGAAACCAAGCTTTAGCAACGGGCGTAGTCGAACGGTACACACTCGGTAAGCAATCCTACAATTTTTTGTTTATAACGTAGTTTATACGGATTATTTTCAAAAAAATATACGTATTTTGGAAATGTTGAGTCGAATTAGTCTAGAATCGATTAATTTTATGAAAGAAAACCTTTCAAACAGCCGTAGTCCGTAAACTATGATTCCTACAAAATTGATTCATAAAGAACGGAACGTATCTACCGTCTTATAGGGGGATCTACTGTATGTTACATTATTTTTAAGTAAATATAATATTATATATGTACATAGGCTGTTTTTTTTCAAGCTCCGATTGTCCATAAAAAAAGACAAGTGTAAAAAATGAATTTATTACCAAAAGTTAGATACAAACATGGTTACTTTTTGATATAATCACTGTGAAGATTGAGGCATTTGTCATATCTGTGGATGAGCTTTTCCATCCCCTTGTCATAGAATGTTGCTGTCAATAACTTGAGATGGGCCCTAACATTTTTTTGAAGATCGTCATTAGTCTCAAGCCTCTGCCCTCCTAGCCACTTTTTCTGTTCAGGAAAGAGGTGGAAGTCGCTCGGTGCTAAATCGGGGCTATATGCTGGGTATTTAATGGTGGCAAAGACTTCCACCTTTCAGACTTCTACCCATTTTAAAACTTTTTAATGGCAAAGGCTGCCGTCAATGATAATACGTTGGATCCCATATGCAACATGCTCAGCCATAGGAAAATCAAAAGTCTTTTGTATAATGATATTCTTCTCCGCTGGCAGAACTCTTGGGACAGCAATCACAGCAACCTAACCTACCAATTCATACCTAATATCAATGAGCACCACTGCCATACCTGGATTAATATCAATTCTCCCCTTACTCAGTTTATTACTGGCCACGGGAGATTTTCCAATTATCTCCATCGCTTTATGGGTAAACATACTCCTCTTTGTGCCATCTGTAGGGAGGTGGATGGTCCCAACCACTATCTTTACAGATACGTGTGCCTTGAAAGGGAGCGTCTCAAAATTGAACTAATTGCACAGAAATTAAACATCTCCTAGCCATGTCAGCAACATGATCTCCTTAAACACAAGGATCTTTATTCAGCTTTTCGTAGCTTTCTTATGAGCAAGTGGCACCATCACCACACATGAGTAGTTCCTCACCAGGCTTCGTTCTTTTCATTACCTCTGCCACTGCTATGGACATTTGTAAATACAGTGGTGCCTCGTACAACGTACTTAATCCGTTCCAGGTGCACATCCGTTAAGTGAAACGTCTATTAAACGAAACGCATTTTCCCATAGAAATACATGTTAAAACATATAATTCGTTCCGCAGCATAAAATAACCGTACTGTACCATAAAAAACGAAAATGGACATCAATTGTATATTGCATGTGTTTTTTAATATCATGTCATTGGTGTCTAAAGTTTTTCTGTCTCTAGTTGGAATATTAAAAAGGATTTGAACTGATCCAGAATTATTTGTATGATCAAAATTGTTTAAAAACAGAATTAATCTTTGGAATTTTACAATTCAAAATTAAATTTACTTAAATTTAATTAAATAATTGATATAAGTGATTGTATGTTAATCATTGACTAAATTGCAATTATTTATATCATCTATAATGTGTGTAGCTTCTTAGTAAAATTGTTTTAAATTTATTAATATTAGTAATATTAGCTTATTTTTTTCTTTTCTAGTTATGTGAATTGCCAAAGTCATTCTGTGAACTTCAAGAATTAAGAACATTAGATTTGTATAAAAATAATCTTAAAGAATTACCTAAGGCATTGAAATTTTTGACAAAATTGAATCGTTTAGATATTTATGAGGTAAGATTCAAAGCACATTATTATTTTATTCTGAATAACAAAAATTTGTTGAAAAGATGATTAATAATGTTTTGATTTAAAATTATTTTGGTTGTTAGATACAATATATTTAAATGATATACAGTAGATCCCCCTATAAAACCGTTTCCTATAGTTATGATTCCTATAAAAATTGTGGCAGTATCCGTAAACAACGGTAAAAATAACTCCTATAATACGTAAAACGTCATCGGGCAGCCGAACTACTTTCCCGCNTGTATTACATTACATTTAATGTTTATTTAAATCATCAACATATATTACATTACATTTCTACTTCAGATATACTAATAATACATTCTAATAATACTAATATATCCTAAAAGTAGCAGATTGTCATTGGCGACGGCAAAAGAGTGGAAACATCATTCGCACTAAGAAAGTCCATTGTTCGAAGAAAGTCCATTGTTCGTCTCACGTAACTGCCGAACGGAAAGTCCATTGTTCGCAGCAAGTCCGTTGCTCGAGTTACGTAACGGTCAAACAGAAAGCCCGTTATTCGCAGCGTCCGTTATTCGAGGCGTACGTTATACGAGGCACCACTGTACTATACATATGCTACCTAACTGCTACTGTTTTCAAAGTTGTAATGTAATGGCTCATATTACTTCTCTTATGTATTGTATTCTATACTCAAATTGTATTTTACACTCTATTATAATGTATCATTACTTTATTTGCTGTATTGTACTCAATTTTATGTATTTTATGTGCTTTTCCTTCTACACTTATACACTTATGTTTTATTTTACATTAACACTTGTAATATTGCATAGTGTCTGTACTTGTATAGCTTTCAAAATCCATCACTTCTGTATGTACCCTATACTGTAAACAAATTGTAATTATCTGCATCATTGTTGTATTTAACTACAACATCATTGCTATACCTGCATCACCATTGTATTAACTCTTGTATACTATTCCAACCTACTTCTTGTTATCTCTGTAATTCCTGTATTGTAAACAAGTTAACATCTACTGTATCTGGTTTTCATTCCCAGTAGTGCCATGCTGAGCCGGGCATGTACAAACTGTTGTATGTAATAAAGATATTGACTGACTGACTGGCTGTGTGAAGACTTCCACCACTTTCCTGAACTGAAAACATTGCTAGCAGGGCTGAGGTTTGAGACTAATGAACTAATGACAATCTTCAAAACAATGTTGTTAAGGCCATCTCAATTCACTGGCAGCAACATTCTATGACAAGGGGATGGAAAAGCTCATCCACAGATATGACAAATTCCTCAATATTCATGCTGATTATGTCAAAAAGTAACAATGTTTGTATCTAACTTTTGGTAATAAATTCATTTTGTTATTTACACTTGTCTTTGTTTTATGGACCATCGGAGCTTGAAAAAAACAGCCCTCATATATAATATATTATACAGTGTATAGTTTATATAAAACATGATTGTTTTTCAGCCAGAACACACCAGTATGCCATACTGGCAGATAGCATTAAAAGTATTGATAGTTGGTGTATAGTGCTGGCAGTTGCTGAGTATAGGTATCCCTTTTGATTAACGCAATTAAGTAGTCCCTCAATACTGCTGCATATATCAAAATTGTGTTAATCAAATACATTGGTACCTCGGTACACAACTGAACATTCATGACCCACTAGAACAAATTTTCTGTTAAATAAATATTTTTATTTTGTCATCCATTAAAAAGCTTTCTATGATAAAAATGAATAACTAATTTAAAAATAAAATGAAACTTTAGAGTTGCCTACATTTGTCAGATAAAATTATACTTAATCCAGCTTGTTTTTTCACTTAATTAATGCATGTGAAACATAATCATCATGTCAATTATACAAAGATTTTTGCAAGTTTACGAATTGTTTTATTTATCAGTTTTTAGCAATTCTTCCTGAAAGTTTTTGTCAACAGCTTTTGGGCACCCCATACATTTTATATCCTTTAGTTCAAAATTTCCCAAACAAAACTTTCATAACCACATTTGACACATCCAATGTTTAAGAGCATCTTCTCTATACTCACTACGAGTAATTTTTATTATTTGTATAGTGTTATATCCTTCAAAAAACTTAAAAAGCATACCTAATACTTCCAATCTGCATTTTATCTGCAGACATTTTGATTTGATTTTACATGAACAAAATGTGCAGTTTTAAAATAAGCTTCTAAACAATGAATACAATATCATATTAGCAGTAATGTGTTAAATATCACAACTATCATAATTAAACTATCTATCTATATTGGTGTAAAGTATTGGCTTGTAGACAGAGAGGGAACAAAAGAAGCATCAACCTTGCTAATTGGACCCACGTGTGGTCCAATGTTAACTACTTGCCAGATGGTGAACTCCTGGTCATAAACAAGTGGGTCAGATATCGGCGGAAGTAAATGTAAGCTCCACTCTCATGCAATAAAAGCAGACCTGGGTGAAAGCTGTTCGCGCAACAAAGATTTGTAATTGGTCGGAAGTTTCTGTCCAAAAACCCTTAAATTGTGGAGCAAATGGGAGAGGTGAGAGAAGGGCTCGAGACTGGTAACATGGAAGTCTCAGGGACGGATAAGTGCTGGGACCAGACAAACCATGCAGTAGAGCCACTCCACAGGCTGACTGAGGCCTCTCCAGTGCTTATTAGTTCCCGAAGGTCAATATCTAGTATGTGAGGCACCATATCCTGTATTTACTGTGTTTTATATCTTGTATACTCTCTCTCTATATATATATATATTGTAAATAAACTGTAAATATTGTCTATCTTGAGTGTGGGTGTGTGCTTTCACCAAACCTGGATCCCAACTATGTTGAGTCATGATAAATATGGCACACCAACTCAACGAGACAGAGTTTGGGGAAGAAACTTCACTATTGAAAATCACCCTCATCATGAAAATAGCAAATTCATCAACACTTTATTTGCTGAGGAAAACTTATCTATGTTAACTAAAGATGGCTGCTAAAGCTGTGTTAATTAAAGCTTCAGCTGCATATGTAAAGTGATTGTTGCAATTAACTTCATGTGTTAATCAAATCCTGTGTTAAGCAAGGGATACCTGTAAAAACAATTATATAGTGTATGTTCAGTCATTATATACAACTCTGTATGTTACCTCATATGCATACCAACAGTAATTTTTTTTAGAATAAGAACACTATTACTAATATAAAGCCATCATTTCTGTGTTTGTGTGTGAATTCCTTTATTATAAAAAAGCAATAATTTCTGTGTATGTGTGTGTGAATTCCTTATAACTCCTGCAATGCTTGTCCAATCCAGATGAAATTTGAGTTATATTTGTTTTATGTTCTGATGGAAAGTATGGGTTACTTATTTTGTGGGAATATTAGCTATAGAACAAATGTTTTATTGATTTTGAATTGGTGATTGCAGTGACATCAGTGACCAAGTGACATTCATACTTGATGAGGAAATTTCCCTTAATTAATTTAAGTTGCATTTTTAAATTTTTTGGCAAATGTTATCGCTCATCTAATTAACATATATACAACTCATCTTTGTTTTATCAATGCGGAATTAAAAAGACTTGCTATTTTGTCAAAAAAAAAAAAAAAACAATCCTAGGGGAAAGCACAAGAGTAAAATTGGTGAGGTAAATTCTAGATCTAAAAGAATAAGAACAACTTGAGACCCCTTGAAGGCCATGTAGTTCAACTTGAGCAACTTCGATTAAGAATGGCTTTGTCAAGAGCTGCAGAAACAGTTGTCACAATGTCAAGCTTGACTTGAAGCTTTTCTCAATTTTTCAATCTCTACTTTCTCATAAAAATATTCTGTCATGCTTGACTGAAGAATTTCTAGAATAAATACAATATGTAAATAAAACTGTGTAAACTATATATATATATATATATAGTTTTAAACTTCAGATTGCAATGAATTACATTAGAATCTCTTTATAATACAACACTAGATCAAAAAAATGGAATGTACAAGAATGGAAGAAAAAATTATTGCTTTTTTATGATAAGTTTGATTATTTTTTTTTTTCAAAATGCTCAAGAATATCTCCATATTCATACAAATATATCTGTGATAATCTTCAGCATCAGAATGCTTCAACTCATTCAGTAGTTGATGTCATGATTTCTTATCTCTCTGCTTTACTTAACATAATCATTCACTTTTCTCCTCACTAATATCAGCTAATGCTAACAAAATGAAAATGTTTTCTCTTTTTAACAATGTATAAAGGATGGCTCTACTTGGTTTATTTTTCTAATCACCTGCTGTCAATTGTAATCAACACTGTCAACCATTATTAGAATTTCATTAGTCAGGTTTTAATTGTGTTGCTGCTGTGTTTCAAGTATGTGACCACTAATTTGCTTGCATAACTTTATTTGTTGTAGTTGCAATTGCCTGCACAGCTGAAAATTGAAAAATATGGCCTTTATTTAAAAGCAAACAGTAACTGTAGAAAATATAAAGAATAACCAGAAACTGTAGACATTGTTTAAGTTAAGTTCTATCTATTATCTTTTGAACAAAGTATGTTGAAAGAGACTATTTTAGCTGATAAGTCAAACTTGCTTTGAATACTTACACAATAATGTTTAAAGTTTCTGGTAAATGAATTAAGAATGAATTTAAATGTTTATAAATAAAATTTTGTAATTTTATATGAAAAGATATAATGTATATTTTAAATAATAATTTTTCATTTTAGAATAATTTTGAAATTTCTTGGGAAGATTCAATAGCTAGAACTTCAGAAAGAAGTAAAATTGAAAATTTAAAGAAAAACAATGATACTTCAATTAAAAATGCCAAGAATATTAAGGTAACAAATATTAACATATTACTTCTATAAATGAAATAAAATAGACTATATTTGTTGTCATTTAAAAATAAATTCAGCTTAAATTTTACTTTTGCTTTAAATATAGAATTTAGTTATTATATAAATTGTTTAAAATGTTAAAAAATTTTGAATTATATGTAATGTATATATTGTTGTATAAACGTTAAAGCATACATCATAATAATTACTCTGAGGAACAAAATGAAACTTAATGGCTGTTAAAAGGAAATCATTTTATAGGAAAGGAAAGGTTTTTATATGGATTTTTTCACTGATTTCAAATTTTCCTTTCTTTCTTTTGGAGTCAGTTTTCGAGCAATGGACATTTCTGTGTTCTGTCATAAAACCATATGTAATGAAAACATAGTAAGTATCCATGCTTGTATATTTATCTCAAATGTAGTCCTTGTAGATATCCTGCTGTATTTAGCTAGAGGAATGTCTCTCTTCAGGATCCAGTAGTTAGCCAGCATTCTTGCAAACCATTTGATAATGACTTTCCATAGTCAATAATTCCTGAGAACCATTTACTTTGTTCACCATTTACAGCATCTTAGTTCTTGAGGAAAAATTCCAGATATGAGTCCAAGAAACATTTATACAAATGTTTAAAAAAGGAAACATTCATTATGAACTTAATACAAAATTTAACAACAGTTTTTAAATTGTTTAACAATATTTAAATTAGAAACCAATAAATATATATCAAAAATAGAATAAATTCAGACAGTGCATAACTATTACAAATTTGCAAAGAAGAAACACATTGAAAAAAATAAGGTCAGGGGATTGAAAAAATATGTGATTAGAAAATAAAAACACATTTTTGTTTGAAGAAATTTTATCGCAGTATTTCTAATCTGTCTCTTTTTAATTTATTTTCTGGTAAATTCATGCACTAAGGAAGTACAAGCAAACATAGCTGCTGAATTTGAAAGAAAGCTCCTGGCAAGGCTAATCAAAGATCAACAGAGAAAAATCACTGGTTTTGAGTAAAATGTATATCTTGCACACTTAGCCTTTTTTAAAGTTTGTGAACTGAATACTCTTTTTGAACAGCTTGATAAAATTAATTTTATCTCCAACAACAATATCTTTCAAATGAAAATGAAGTTGGATAAAAAGTTTCAATGGCTTTTACAGAAAAAAAAGCAAGTGAAGAGCTCCGGTTAATATCCTCTATTATAATTATTCAGATAAGGTTGTTTACTACAGCACAGCCAAAATTTATTCCAAAGCCAAAGAAGAACCTAAGTGAATTAATTCCTCCAACCATATCAGCGGTTAAAGGGTGTCAACAGAAGGACTTACATTCCCAGCTAGAGGTATCTGTTTTTACAGAAATTTCTAGTGCACATTCTCTATGCTCTGTGTCTTCATCAAGAAATTGGTGAGAAATTACTTGAACAATTTAAATCTTAGACTTTTGATCTCTGACAAAGACAAGAGTTTGTACTGTGCAAAAATGAGGACTTCTTATGTAGAGCTGATGACTTCCTACTACAGTCAGGATCAGTGTTAGTAACAGAAGACCCAACTCCAGCAGTTTTGAAAAAAGTGAAAAAAGTTGTCATTATACTGAGAATAGCATCAGTATTATCTGGACCCCTGGACCCACCAGCCAATGTATCATGTCCCAGACTTTTTCGAAGTAAAAATACACAAATTCACCTGGCCTGAAGTAAAAAACAAATCCACCATTCTAAAAGTAGGTGGGATGGGAATGCTTGTTCATCCTTTGGTGAACAAGTGTTCCTATCCCACCTAGTTTTTAGAAAAGGCTCTTGCTAAGAAAATCATTGCTTCCTAGTTCCAATCTTGACATTTCTTCCACTCGTGAGGCAAAGTCTCATAACTAATACTATTGGAGCTACACCTCCAAATATGTACCATTTTTTCAAAACAGATGCGGTCTTGTTATACCCATCTTTCCCCATTTTGAAGCAATGACTGCTTGCAAACACTGTATTGATTGAGAATGGATATTCCATATCACAAATACTAGGCTTTGAGGGAGGCTCTTTTATTAATTACAGATAGTAACTATTTTTGTTTCAATGGTAATATTTATTTACAGAAACAGGGAGTGCCTATGGGCTTGTCTCTCTTGGCTATTTTAGCTGAGTTAGTTATGAGCCATAACATAACTAACAGGGAGTGCCTATGGGCTTGCCTCTCTTGGCTATTTTAGCTGAGTTAGTTATGGGTGATAACTAACTCAGCTAAAATAGCCAAGAGAGGCAAGCCCATAGGCACTCCCTGTTTCTGTAAATAAATATTACCATTGAAACAAAAATAGTTACTATCTGTAATTAATAAAAGAGCCTCCCTCAAAACCTAGTATTTGTGATATGGAATACCCATTCTCAATAGAATTTAAAGCTTTTCGATTCCTGCTTTGTGTGAGATTCTAGCCGGGGGTATGGAGTAGTTTATTACTCGTGTATCACTTACTTAGCGGCTAGTTGTTGAAACTAGTTCTCAGGTCATCTACAAGAATGGCTTTTTCCAATTTAAGAAAATCAAGTGCGGAGGGACTTATAGTTAGAATAAATTAAAGCGGAATTTGGTGATGGCGAATTCACCTTCTTCCTCGTCAGGATCCTGACACCAGTTAATCAATTTACTGTTATGCGGATTAACACGCGTATGGAGATAATATGGATTTGATTCAGACAAAGATGAGACATTTCTTTAACATAAAAATAAAAGAATTTAATAAACTAAAATAAACAAAAGCATATAAAATGGATATAATTAAACAATTCAAACGAGCAATTTAGAGAGAATATAGATGCAATTAAAATATATGCGTTGAGAGAGAGAGAGCTCACAAATTCATTTATAATCACACTACCTCAAAGTTTACTTTGTCTTTATGTTCATCTGTATTCTATGATCATACTTCATTTCATGGTGAGGTCTTGATTTGGCACAATATTAAAAGTTTCTTCTTTTCTTCCTAAATTAACTCATTTTTATACTCAATTGGATACAACTAAGGGCGTTGGCCTTATGGAGAAAATATGGGAGACTTCTCTCCTCTATGAGATCTTCTGACATACTCCTACTAAGGGCGTTGGCCTTAGGGAGCAAATATGGAATACGTCTGGCTTCGATGAGGTCCTATGGCGTACTCTCCGAATCATGTAGATCTTTGACTATATCTCATGATTTGTGACCAATCATCATATTTGTACTTTCTCACGTGACCGGAGGGAAGGGGAATTATTGAGGGGTCGACAATTCCCAGGGTGGTGAGATTTGTGATAGATAACTGGAAAACAAAAGGATGTGTGTACTTCCGTTAATAAATTCCCTTAAGCCCAAGCCCGAGATATCTCGGGCAAGTTACATAGCATTACATAAAATGCGGTGCTTAAGGCCATTTTTGAAAATTTTTTTTTTGAATTTTTCGAATGTTTTTTAAGTCTCTAAATTTTTTCAAAATTTTTTTCCCGCGCGAAAAAATTTTATTGCGATTTTAATTTACCTTTAATGACGCACGCTTCACGCTTAATTGCTTTTTAATAGTTTTTTAATGGGAGTTTGATATCAAATTTCATTCATTGTTCTAAANGGTCTTCTACAAGAATGGCTTTTTCCTAATTTGAGGAAATTCGAGGGTGGAGGGACTTACAGTTGGATATATCTAGAGAGGAACTGAAGGATTTCATAATTCTTCGTTCCTACGTCAGGATCCCGACACCAGTTAATCAATTTACCATTACGCGGATTAACACGCGTATGGAGATAATATGGATTTGATTCAGACAAAGATGAGACATTTCTTTAACATAAAAATAAAAGAATTTAATAAACTAAAATAAACAAAAGCATATAAAATGGATATAATTAAACAATTCAAACGAGCAATTTAGAGAGAATATAGATGCAATTAAAATATATGCGTTGAGAGAGAGAGAGGTCACAAATTCATTTATAATCACACTACCTCAAAGTTTACTTTGTCTTTATGTTCATCTGTATTCTATGATCATACTTCATTTCATGGTGAGGTCTTGATTTGGCACAATATTAAAAGTTTCTTCTTTTCTTCCTAAATTAACTCATTTTTATACTCAATTGGATACAACTAAGGGCGTTGGCCTTATGGAGAAAATATGGGAGACTTCTCTCCTCTATGAGATCTTCTGACATACTCCTACTAAGGGCGTTGGCCTTAGGGAGCAAATATGGAATACGTCTGGCTTCGATGAGGTCCTATGGCGTACTCTCCGAATCATGTAGATCTTTGACTATATCTCATGATTTGTGACCAATCATCATATTTGTACTTTCTCACGTGACCGGAGGGAAGGGGAATTATTGAGGGGTCGACAATTCCCAGGGTGGTGAGATTTGTGATAGATAACTGGAAAACAAAAGGATGTGTGTACTTCCGTTAATAAATTCCCTTAAGCCCAAGCCCGAGATATCTCGGGCAAGTTACATAGCATTACATAAAATGCGGTGCTTAAGGCCATTTTTGAAAATTTTTTTTTTGAATTTTTCGAATGTTTTTTAAGTCTCTAAATTTTTTCAAAATTTTTTTCCCGCGCGAAAAAATTTTATTGCGATTTTAATTTACCTTTAATGACGCACGCTTCACGCTTAATTGCTTTTTAATAGTTTTTTAATGGGAGTTTGATATCAAATTTCATTCATCGTTCTAAAGTTGTAGTGCATGGATTTTCCTTCGGTAAAGTTATTTAAAGCTAGTTTCTGATGTCAAAAACGACCTCCGATAGTTTTTTAATTTTTTTAATTAATAGATTTTCTTATATATAAGTTTAATTAAGTCGGAGGGTCGGAAATCTCAATAAAAATTTTAATTTTTTAAAAATATTTAAAAATATAGGTCTAGTTAGTATTCACCCTACTTTAAACCCTTCTCCCGAGACGTCTATGAGAATGTCCCGGGAAATACGACACCAGCTGTTCTCAAGGTCATCCAGCTGTGTAAACAATGACTGGTCAGTTTCAAATTTCACAGAAAGACGAGACAAAGGAAAATAAAATTTGAAGCTTTTTCTTCAAAATTAATGCATTTCTTTCGGTTTTTTTCAGTTTTAAGTATTTTTTATGTTTAATTACATTAATATCAAAAATCGAGGCTTAAGGAGTTAAAGGAAGTGGCTCTTTTATCAATTTCCCCACATTAGAAAATGATATTTTCACACCAAAATGAAATAATATTTTACTTTATAATTTTAACGTTATATTTAAATTGTTAATTAGACCCAGGGGCTATTCGGATCTCACATTTGTATACATTATCCTCTTCTATATCTATGGTACATAAAGGATGTTCTGTTAGCATGGGAATGCTCAAAGGGTGAATTATTAATTTATACAATTCTTGTCAGCCATTTTTCCAACCATCTTATTTACTAAAGAGGAAGAAAAAGATATAAAAATCTCTTTCTTGGATTTACTTGTATATAGATCCCCTAATGGGCCCTCCTTTTCCATTTTTTACAAGTGTGATGAACTGCCATTCATTATCCCTTAAACTGCCTTCCATCTCTCTAGGTACAAAAATTTGGCCATTACTGCACTTATACATAGGGCTTTTTTATACCCATCCTCCCAACCATTTGTGGATAAAGAATTTGCCCTTTAAATTAGAAGTGAACAGAGCTGGATATTCTCTCACAAAGTTTAATTATTTAGTAAAAAGGTAAATGGGTTAAAAGCACATTATTTCCAAGATCAACTTTATTTTGTAAAAAGGAACTGGTCTTTATGTTGCCAGCTATCTTGTACCTAGGTACCTCTTTCTTTCATATATACTGAGTTTTTAGAAAATTTGAACTAGCATTAGCTCCCCAGTCCACATTGCATAGGATACTTTGCAATGATAGTGATGGGTTTATGCTTTTTGAAAAATTTGGAGCTTTAATTTGTATAGGTATAGCATAAATTTGAAAAATTTATGCTATACCTATTTATGCTATATCAAAACTATTTTAAAGGTATAGCATAAATTTGAAAAATTTATGCTATACCTTTTACATACCTTTAAAATATACCTTTAAAATAGTTTTGATCCCATTAGTGGATTTTGTAAAGGTATAGCATAAATTTGAAAAATTTATGCTATACCTTTACAAAATCCACTAATGGGATCAAAACTATTTTATATAGGTACCACTGCCAGAATGCTCTGTATTCATCTGGCAGAGCATTGTGAAGATATTATACATAGGAGATGTGCAACAGAACTAGCCAAAAACGGATATAACTTTGATTCTTTTTGGTGGTAAGTGTCATTGGTGAAACACTGTGGGAAGAATCTTATTCATATGGAAATCTTTGTTCATTATATCAATGTTGCCATGCAATTCTCCCACACTTGATATACCAGAGTTTTGCTGTTCAACTTTCTAAATCATAGATCACGTGACAAAAACAAAGCAACATCAATGGCACTCCAGTGTTTGTATTTTGTTTGAATTTTCTTTTATATTGTTATCAATTATTTCTATGCATATTATTGTTAATTTTATTAACCATAGCCATCATATATCATATTTATTTTGTAATAATGTACAGTTTTATATTTTTATATCTGTAATTTTTATGTTCCATGCTCGTGTGTGAAGAGCAATTTGAAAATGTGTTCTTTTTCTATATTTCTAATGTTCTATTCTCCATATTACCTGAAGAAGATGGTTATATACTGTCTAAAGTATTCATCAATTAAATGTTTACCGGTAATGCCAATAGACAGTTTTTAGATTTATCTTTTGTTAATAAAGTCTAAATTCAGCCATATTGTCTCCTAAGTTACTGTATGATAAGTCCATAAAAAAAAAAGCAATATTATATGCTTGAATTTGAAATCTTATGTTAGTACTCTTAAACAAAAAAAAATACTTTTTCAAATGTTACAAATTTTTAATAGTTAATTATTTTTCAGGGTAATTCCGAAATTATATATGAGGACTCACTGAGTAGTTCTTCAGATAAAGAAACTGAGAATAGTGACAAATTTGATAGCTCTACAAATGGTAAACATAACAAAAATGTTGTTGAAGTAAGTATATTATTATAAAATAATTAAATTCAAAATAAATCTGTAATAATAATAGTATTTTTTCCTTGTTTTTAAATTGATACAGAGTTTTTTTTTATGACAAACTAATAACATTATTGATACATGATAATTGAAATGTAAATATTAAGGATGAATGAAATGTATTGAGTTGTAATAGTTTGAACCTTGATATTATAAAATGGCTTTGTTTTATTTTAACACTGAAATAATATTTTAGAATTTATTATAAAAACTTTAGTATCTAAGTTGTTTCATTTTATCAATTTACAAACATTTTATATAGTAGATTTTATTTATTGTAATCACAGCTATTGTTATCACAATTTAATTTTATTAAAATTAGCAAAACTCAAAACATACACTTAAAATACATTTAGAAAATTTCATTTACAGTGATTAGAATAATAAGTGCTAACAATAAACTTCAATTATTGTTTTATTTCTAACTGTCTACTCGGACATAGCTTATTAATAGGATGTTACACTGGTGTTTAATAATTGATACAAAAATTGACAGTTAGATCAGAAAAATAAGACTTTTATTGAAATTCACCTGTAGTAGTAATTTTTTCTGAACACATATACATATATCTGTTTTGGGTTAACAAACCCCTCATCAGCAGCATTACCAAAAACAGTTAAAAATAATTAAATAAACAAATAAGACAATTTGTATAAAAAAAATTTTCACGACAATAAAATACTTTTTTAAAAAACTTACAGTAAAGACGTATCCTAATCGCTTGTACAAAAGATTTATATCTTCAAATTTTACAATTTCCAAATTACTTAAAATAATTTTTTTGTATAAAATTAAATTACATTAAAATATTAAATTTTAAGGAAGAACTAGAATTAAAACCAACAGATTTCAACTTACATTACAATAATTGCATTCACCATGAACTTACATCATCAATGAACATGCGAGTTTATCACTTATACCTTTTGCTGTTTATACACGTCATCAAGTATGGTGTCCCATGATTGGTGGATTATTCTTCGTAAGTTATTATTAGTTCTATTTTTTTTTCCTTTTTTATATTTATACTTATATTTATATATAATATTCATTATGTAGTTAAAATCTAATGATTATAATTTTATTATTATTTTTATTTTGTGAAATTAATTTCTGATGTGTCATATGATGACTTACCATTTTATTTATCATCTCATCAATTGGTTGTATATAAATTTAATTGTAGTCTTAGATTTATTATTTATAGTATAACTGATGAAAAAGTCCTGAGAACTGCTGATACTAAACACACTTTAATTTAAAATATATTTTTGGAAAATTTTGAAATAAACACTCTTGTACTGTTCTGTAAGGAATAATAAATATATTTTTTTTAGGAAAATGAATTACAGTTTACACAAGAAGAATTAAATAGGATAAAATGTGCCTTAAAAGAAGGTGCATCATTGTGGAGACAACATCGGGATGGATTTTTAATTAATCATAGTCATCAGTTAATTGCAGAAACAGAAGAACTATGGGATAAAGATCTAAATTTTGGTAAACTGAAAAAAAATAATATATTTTTAATTTATATGTAAATAATAATAATGGGCATACACAAAATTAGAACAACCCCAAAAGTAAACATATGCAACATTAATAAAACATAAATAACACTCCCTAAGTCCCCTGTAGAAAGTCCTTTGAACTCTTTCATGTAAAGGAGGAGGATGATGTCTCTCAGATATTTTAAGTCTGACTACAAAACAAATACAGAAAACAACATAATTACACAAAACTATAACTCAAGTAGACAAAAATGATACACCATTAAACTTATAATACTGACTTCAATCTAACACAGTGCACAAAATGCACAGACTTCATCAGACAGTCTTGGACTCAGAAGGAGATCCATGATAGGCATCCTATTAGTCTCAGCCAGAATCATGTTGACAGAACTACATCAAACTGCTGATTGACTCATGGCTTTTTGGTGAGACAGAAGAGTTCATGATTGCCATATAAGACCAAGTTGGTCATAAATACAAAAATTGTAGAAAGCATCTTAAAACACAGATGACACTTGTAGGAAATGAGGAAATGTCACATCATGCATGAGACTATACAACGCATTATATCACGTTGCATTTTTTAGCATAAACAGACTAATTACACCATAACAAAACAAAATCAAATAGCAGAAAACCTAATAAATCAAAACTTGCACACAAATACAAACTATTGCACCATACTACAAATACATGCCTCAGACAATAATTAAAAAAAAACACACACACAAGATGTACTATAACTGATGTACAGAATAAGCTATTACAGACAAAACAATCTATCATAACAGACATGACATCACATTCATTAACAAATGAAACAAGATCACATACATCATAAACATAACTGTACTAAGCACTCACAACATAGAAAATACATACCCTTCAAAAATTATTAAATACTCAGAACTCTCTCACAAAAAGCATTTGTGAAGAATGGATAAAGTACTTATTTCAGCAATCCTTTCTTGCACAAGCATCATACCACATACACTATATAAAAGTCCAGAAACATTAGAACTTCATAACAGTACATACCTTGGATTATAGAAGTATTTAGTATGGGGTATATATATATATATATATACCCCATAATAAATACTTGTATAATCCAAGGTATATATATATATTTCCTATGTGACATGTATTTAGTATGGGTTGGATATATATATATATACCTTGGATTATAGAAGTATTTATATAATCCAATAGAAGTATTCTATAATCCAAGGTATATATATATATGGGTTGGGTATATATATATACCCAACCCATACTAAATACATGTCACATAGGAAATTCTTAACTCCTTGTGTACACATACATTTTTGATATTAATGTAATTAAACATAAAAAATACTTAAAACTGAAAAAAAACCGAAAGAAATGCATTAATTTTGAAGAAAAAGTTTCAAATTTTATTTTCCTTTGTCTCACCTTTCTTTGAAATCTGACGCTGATGAGTCATTGTTTACACAGCTGGATGACCTTGAACACAGCTGGAGTTGGATTTCCCGGGACATTCTCATAGAAGTCTCGGGAGGCGATGAGTTTAAAGTAGGGTGAATACTAGCTGGCCGTATATTTTTAAATATTTTTAAAAAATTAAAATTTTTGTTGCGATTTCCGACTCCCCCCAATTTAATTAAACGTATATATAAAATCTATTAATTAAAGAAATTAAAAAACTATCGGAGGTCGTTTTTGACATCAGAAACTAGCTTTAAATAACTTTACCAAAGGAAAATCCATGCACTACAACTTTAGAACGATGAATGAAATTTGATATCAAATTCCCATTAAAAAGCTATTAAAAAGCAATTAAGCATGAAGCATGCGTCATTAAAGGTAAATTAAAATTTTGAAAAAATTTGGAGACTTAAAAAACATTCGAAAAATTCAAAAAAAAAATTTTCCTTTTTTCGTTTTATGTAATGCTATGTAACTTGCCCGAGATATCTCGGGATATGTCCTTAAGAGGTCTGGCATAGCATTATGCATTGGTATATAAGGTGAGTAGATATACTATAATAATGAATATAAAATATTTATTATTATTATTAATCAGTTGTAGGATTAAAAATTAAAAACTATCTATCTAATTGCAATAATACATATAAATTTTCTTAGTTATTGATTATCTAGTTTTTGATTTTACATATTCAAAAACTATATTTTCATATAAAGCAGAATTTTTTGTTCTTTTTCTTATATTAATTTAAAATTATCTGTACGCATTTTTTTTATTTGAAGAAATAATTTCTCATTCATAATATACAAAATTTTATATTCATAGAAATTAGAATAAAGAAACATTAACAGGGATATAATAAAAATAATTGTATAAAGAAGTTTAGTTCATTTCAATTTATATAAAATAATTACAGTTGAATATGTTATGTAAATAAAAATTTTAATCTCAATTAATATTCATTAAAAATATCATCAAATTGTTTATTCCAAATGTAAAGCACATTATTGAGCATATCTAGGTTAGTCAAACTTTATTCAAAGTCAATTTTTATTAATATAAGTAATTTTATTAAAAAAATTTCTTTAAAAATGTTTTCACATGGTACAAAAAGGTATATATATGCCTAGTATTTTAATTGAAATTAATATAAGAAATGAGCACAAAAAGACTCATATACTTGATATTTAATCTGTTTTTCTTTTTAATGTTGGCATTATCTGACAATTTTTGTATAACATGATGGTAGAATTTTTTCTTAAGTATAATTTTATTGTTTTATTCATTTTTAAAATTACTTTTGAGATCAAAGACGTAATTTCATTTTTGGATTTAAAAGTATTCTGTTCCATTAGTAGTCTGCATATCAATATGTTTTGTAAATTTAACATGCTGTTATCATTTTTTTTTCCTGTCAAATGTACTATCATTTTCTCTTTTTCTAGTCTAATTTTATTTTCTTATTAAATTTTAATATGTTATATCATCTGCATGTGATGTATGCCAAATGATATTACAAGTTAAAGTTATTTTTTTGTATTTTTACAAGAATTAAGTCATATTCTAAAACATTGTATTTTGTTTAAGTTAAGTTATTTGTATTAAATATATTCTATTAATTATATTTATATATGAATATTATAATAATAATTAGTAGTATAAGTATGTTATTTGGTTATACCAATATTTTTCTATGCAATTATAATTTAATTGCATAATTTAATATAAATACATATAGTAATTCAAACACAAATTATATATTGTATTTATCCAGACACTTGGCAAATCTCATCATTAAATTTTATTCATACATGTTTATCTCATTTGTACACGTTTCGGGCATTCCTTGCCTCTCTTCAGCCAACTTTTAGATTACAGATTATTGAAAGTTAAAACCATAAAATTCCTTTGCCCATTTTACTTGTCATCCATTAAATTACAAATTTGTGTTTGAATTACTAAAAATTACTGGCACAGTTTCGAAAATACCAGAATAAGAATTCCAAAACTGAAACAGCAATAATCATCAGAAGATGCATAAGGGTCAACAAAACAACAATTACAGAGAAAAACTGCAATCAACTGAATAAAATTTAATGATGAGATTTGCCAAGTGTCTGAATAAATACAATAAATCATTTGTGTTTGAATTACTAAAAATTACTGGCATGGTTTCAAAAATACCAGAATAAGAATTCCAAAACTGAAACGGCAATAATTATCAGAAGATGCATAAGGATCAACAAAAGGGTCAACAAAACAACAATTACAGAGAAAAACTGCAAGTTGACTGAAGAGGGTCAAGGAATGCCCAAAACACGTATCAACTGAATAAAATTTAATGATGAGATTTGCCAAGTGTCTGAATANAACATGATGGTAGAATTTTTTCTTAAGTATAATTTTATTGTTTTATTCATTTTTAAAATTACTTTTGAGATCAAAGACGTAATTTCATTTTTGGATTTAAAAGTATTCTGTTCCATTAGTAGTCTGCATATCAATATGTTTTGTAAATTTAACATGCTGTTATCATTTTTTTTTCCTGTCAAATGTACTATCATTTTCTCTTTTTCTAGTCTAATTTTATTTTCTTATTAAATTTTAATATGTTATATCATCTGCATGTGATGTATGCCAAATGATATTACAAGTTAAAGTTATTTTTTTGTATTTTTACAAGAATTAAGTCATATTCTAAAACATTGTATTTTGTTTAAGTTAAGTTATTTGTATTAAATATATTCTATTAATTATATTTATATATGAATATTATAATAATAATTAGTAGTATAAGTATGTTATTTGGTTATACCAATATTTTTCTATGCAATTATAATTTAATTGCATAATTTAATATAAATACATATAGTAATTCAAACACAAATTATATATTGTATTTATCCAGACACTTGGCAAATCTCATCATTAAATTTTATTCATACATGTTTATCTCATTTGTACACGTTTCGGGCATTCCTTGCCTCTCTTCAGCCAACTTTTAGATTACAGATTATTGAAAGTTAAAACCATAAAATTCCTTTGCCCATTTTACTTGTCATCCATTAAATTACAAATTTGTGTTTGAATTACTAAAAATTACTGGCACAGTTTCGAAAATACCAGAATAAGAATTCCAAAACTGAAACAGCAATAATCATCAGAAGATGCATAAGGGTCAACAAAACAACAATTACAGAGAAAAACTGCAAGATAATAAGAATTCAAGTGTTTTAAAGGTTCAAACCATACAAAAATTTGTAATTTAATGGATGACAAGTAAAATGGGCAAAGGAATTTTATGGTTTTAACTTTGAATAATCTGTAATCTAAAAGTTGGCTGAAGAGGGGCAAGGAATGCCCGAAACGCGTACAAAAAAGATGAACACATATGAATAAAATTTAACTTAATGATGAGATTTGCCAAGTGTCTGAATAAATACAATAAATAATTTATGTTTGAATTATTAAAAATTACTGGCACAGTTTTGAAAATTCCAGTATAAATACATATATTGTGTGCATACAGTTGGTCCTTAATTTTTGAATAATTCAGTCTTTTGTACAATTAACTTGTTTTCATATGCCAAATTTACACTTCTGTACATTTTACAGTGGAATAAACTAGTTTTGAGCTATTGTAAATTTGCACTTTCTGCTAGTTTTGTGTTAGTAACAAAAAAAATCATTTGATAAAATTAATTTCTATTGTCCATTTTTCATGGCTTTAAAATATTTAAAAATGTTTTATACTTTGTTACAGAGTAACTGTAAAAAACTAGATAATTCAACTCAAAACTCGATTTTTTTCTAAATAAAAAATTGAGTTTTGAGAATATTCCTTTATGTATATAAGAACTTTATTAAATATATAGTAATTTTTTAATTTTAAACATCATAAACTTTTATATTTTATTTATTTAACCTTTTTTGCTTTTAAACTTATATACTGTATAATGATTTTGTTCTAAATTGATATTTTCAGAAAATTTTGATCAACAAATAAATAATATGAATGAAAATAACTACTTTGAAATGAATTACTATTTAGATGATGATGAAAAATGGGATGAAAATATACCTTTAAAATTTTCAGGTAAAATTAATTTTCAATTTAATAATTTATGACAATGTTAAAGTTTTCATTTGTTAAAAAACATTTCAAAATAATTTAAATAAACAAACATTGTTTGAAATTGTACAAGTTAAATTTAGCTAATATGTTAGATTTAGCATCCAATACAGCTGTGGTTACAAGATTGGAGGGTGGAACTAAAGCTGTAATGTGTTTTGCTAGTGCTGTCTCAAGGAAGTATGTAGGGTGGGAGCATTTGTTAACCAATGGTCTTAAGGGCCATACAGATTTGTGTGTTTTTGCTTTGAAGAATAATCTTGGGCAAACAACACTTCCATTTACGTGCATCACATAATTTGAAAAGTCCATTAAAAAGCTGATAATTACAAGTTAAATATTTTTAATATTAAAATTACATAATAAAATTGTTTAAAATTGAATTAAAGTTTGAAGTACATTTTAATTGGAAAATCATAACATTTTTATTGTAGATGAAAATATTGAAAACTCTAAAATTTATAAAACATTCATATATTTTGTAACCTTTTAGTGAGATTTTTTCAAGTACAAAATTTTTTATTTTTTATTCTAATGTATTTAAAATTTTTAGAAATTTTAGAATAAAACTAATAATATCCATAATAATAAACAAGAAAAATGTTTAAATTTTTAGAAAAGAAGACAATAAGACACAATTCATATAAGTTTTAAGTAATAAATTATAATCAGATATGAGATATAAAATATATAAAATTAATACTAAATATTTTTATAATGATTTCAGCTTCTATTTCTGTCTATTCCAAATCTTAGAATTATTACATTATAAAACTTTAATTAGCAAATAAACACATACTAAACTATACAAAATTATTTATTAATAATTGTAAATTGTGTCAACTCAATCAACATTATATATTGTTAAATAATTACTATATCAAACTTGATTTAAATAACTTGCAAGTATTTTTTTTTTAATATATTTGTAATATTTTAATTGGCAATTTTGTAAAATTTTACAAATTATATCATTTTATGAATTCTGCATACATACTTAATGATCTCAAACTAAATAGAATGGTTATGCTGGCTCTCCACTTTGTGCGATTTTGAGGCAATTCAATTGCCTTTGTCACTGTTCATGCACAGTAGAATTGCCTTTGAATACTTTGGTGACTGTGACAATGTATATTTTTGCATAGCACTTAAATGTTGCAGCCAATCAACATGCAGCATCCATAATTTCAAATGTACATTACATTATATTTTTATTAGTGATGTAATGAATATTCGGTTACTATTTGGTATTCGGCCTATTTGGCCGAATACCGAATATTTAATCACTATTCGGCCGAATACCGAATACTTAAAAAGAGGATAAATAAATAACAAAAACACAGTAAATTAATCATTTTGGTATCTAGATTTAATGTTATCGAGTTAGTGTTGTTTGTTTATATTTATTTATAACTTATAACATGCACAAAATAAAAAAGAAAATAATATTAGTCACATGTATTCACAATTTATAATTACAAATATCAGCACAAGGGATTGCAATCCAGCAGTGTTTTCAATCCAGCTGGATTTTTGCTGGATCAATATCATTCCAGCTGGATCCAGCGCAGATCCGCAGATGTATTTTTGGTGCAATAAAGTGTTATCTATCTATCTATTTAGCATTTTATGGTTTTTTTAAAGAAATAAAACATTTTTTTAAATACTTAAAAACCTTTTATTATTTAGACCAGGGGTCGGCAACCTGCGGCTCTTTGGATGTGAAGCTGCGGCTCTTTAGTTCCATACGCAAATATTATTTATTTTATCAAAAAAAAACATTTAAAAATCGTTCTGAATCGATTAACGAGGATTCGGCACCGATTCTATCTCTCAGTCACTTGTACTCACTTTTCATCGCACCACTCCCCCGTGACACGTGTCGTCACTGTCGTCAGTCAGTCGGAAGCTCTCGAATGACGCCATCGTCGGATGTTTCTATGAGGTTTAATTCGCTTTCGACGCAAGACTATTCTGAATAAATAGATTAGTTTTTTTTATCAGAAAACTTTATTTATGCGAGTACTATTTATTATTGGCAAGAAAAAAATTTGTGGCTCTTTAAAAACTTTGAAATTTTGTAAATTGTAATTTTTGGCTCTTCCAACTCAAAAGGTTGCCGACCCCTGATTTAGACTGTTCACTTTAAATCAGTAAAACGTCTTACACATTTAGGTAGTAAACTTAACTTTGGTTCGATTTAACACTTGAGATAGAGATAATTAACTATAAATGTTTAGTTAAATTATAATTATAATGTAATAAGTTAAATAACAGCAAAGGTAATTCTACTAATTAATTTACTTTAATATATTATATTATAATAATGTAAGGATGGATAATCAGTGGCTAAGTGGCTATCAGTCTTACTAGTTTTCTTATATAGGCTCTACATATCAGTCTGTAGTTATTTATAAGTAATTTAACCACTTATAGAATAAAAGTTAAATACTCTTACTTAATAGAATTAGAGAAGAAGTTATAAAATATCAGTCTTGTCTTGAATAAAGTATTTTAAAGGATTAAATAAAATTAAATCAATCACTTATTTTTTCGTGTTATTTTTTTATTTCATATTATTTTTTTTTCATCAAATATGTTTTTGTTATCAAATATTTCTTTGTCATTTAACATGTTATCATGTTATTTTTTTGACTTTTCTGGAAGTAGGATCTCAAAAAACAAATAGTATTAATGGTGTTGTCTCCCAACCTACTTCTTAATGCACTGCATATATATCCCGCTGCAGAGAAGGCCCTTTCAGCCTCTACGCTAGTTGGTTTCAGGGTCATCAAATAATTATAAATCAAAGATAAGTTTTCACCTCTGACTCCCTCATTTTCATAAACAGCCATTTCCTTTTTTAATAACTTATCATAATCCTTCTCAGTACTAGTTTCTTTCCGTTTCATGAAGTTTTCTTTCTCACGCTTTAGTTGGATCTCCAATTCTTGTTCCAAGGTGAAATTCAGGGAATACGGGTTATCTGGATCATCGCTTTCCACCTCCATAATCTCCTCTGCCATTGCTGCTGGTTCCACTATATATGTATTTACGCGATTCACTAAACTAACCAGGTTTGATCCAAATCGTTAGAGCCATTTTTCTGGTAAATAAATCAATTTTCATTTAAGATCATGTAGCGTGTCACAGACACCCCCCTGGCATTTTTTTAAGTTGCAATTTTTCCAAAATTTTTCAAAAAATTTTAAAAAATTCAAATTCTCTAATTTCTTTGAGCTGCGAAAAATGAAATAAATAACGTTTTTATTGCACACCGAGTTTATTCAGGAAAAAAAGTCGAAAAAGTGCCGGTGTCTTGCAGCTGAAGCGGCGATCCGTCACGTGATTCATTGACGTCACAACCGACCGTAAATTATAATTATGCACCAGGACTAGGAGAGGATGTTACTTATTTTATTTAGCGCGAAGACACTTTATTTAGCGAGAGCGAAAAGTCAACTGTCAATTAGATCAGCAGAGGTAAAAGGACGGGTGGTGTGGTGTGGAGAGGGAGTGTAGCACGTGCTGCATTGAATGGCAACGTCGCTCTCACAGCCGAGCGATAGCGCACTTAGCAAAGCGGCAACGCTGACAACGTAGACTTTTGCACCATTATTTAGAAAGTTAATTGAGTATTTGCGGATCCGCAGTGCTGGATCCAGCAGGCCGAAAAATGCGCTGGATTTAGCTGGATTGCTGGATGAGGGATCCAGCAATTGCAATCCCTAATCAGCACACGTACACGTCTATCGTTGGAGAATCCTAGCACATCTGAGGATCTGACCCTGCCTATCCTTCTTTTTAAGCGCTCATCTTTGCTCTTCCCTTTCTCTTTCCTCTATCGCTCTAATCCATGTATACCTGTGCATACATCATAATACGCGCTCACGATACTTTCAATTCGTCACTTTTCAGTCCTAGAGTTCCCATTTTACAATTACGTGACTTCAGCCTGGTGATAACGGAAAAAAGAGACAGATAGGACGTCGTTATGATTTTACAGATTCGAAACAGCTTGATAGCCCGAACGGCCCCAGGCTTTTGCCCGTGCACGCTAAGTGACTTACATTACAAGCATTTAGCTTTCCGAAGACTATGACAATTGTTTGGCATTGACGGCCGTGAATTTCGTGCCAATAAGCTTCCTCGACTTGTTCGATTATGTTATCGACTCAATTTCATATTTATTTTCACATTTTTAATTTGCGGTCCTTCTCTGTTCTTTTTCCATTATTTACACGTATAGGTCATTTCATTGTTATCCACATTTGATATCATCATTTATCACATACTTCCATGACACTCTTGTCTGTCCGCTACAACTGCCAAGAATTAACGCGATTGGCGAAGCGTAGTGACAGCGGGCCAACAGAGAGCAGGATCCTTGCCATAATGCGGTTTGCGCGCCAATTTTCGTACGTGCGTTAATCAAGCCGAATAGTTTGGCCGAATATTCGGCTATTCGGCCACGCTCCTGGCCGAATATTCGGTATTCGGCCTGAGGCCGAATATACTATTCGTTACAACACTAATTTTTATCCATCATCCTTAGCACTACATAGAGCATGGTGTGGAAATTTTGAAAAGGTGCAAAAAAATAGCAAATATTAGATTAAAGAAATTAAATTGAAAAGTATAAAAAATTATTTTAAGTTGAAATTTTTGCCGCCATTTTAAAAAATTTCCACAATTTATTGCAAATCACCTTCCATTTCATGCAAAGTGTATAGGGCAATGATTGAGTCACTCTATGAACCATCTGATAATGGTGATGTAACTGGGCTAAATGGAGAGCCAGCATTAAAATTTATGTTTTCTTAGGACAAGATTTTAAATGCTCCAATAATCAATTCTTTAATTCAAAACTAAAATTAAATATATTTTACATCAAAACAGTATAAATAAATACTAAAATCTCAATCATTATGAAATGAGAAGTTCCTCATCAGGAAAAAATTCTAAAATGAAATATTACTATTAACCAGTTTGAAGATAAACAAACTATTACTATATCAATCTGTTTCTTAAGTACTGATATATGTGAATCATATATTTAGAAATTTAATTATAAGTGTATCCTGCAGAACATCTCTCTTAACATTTCCCATTGAATATGTTTTGGATTCTAATATTCAAATTCCAAAAAATGCATATATCTCTTAATAAAACATTTTTTTGGTCACTATTTAGACTGTGAAAATTTATATTTGTTTGAGAAACTCATTTATCATTTTTTAAATTGTTCTATTGAAAAACATCTTAAGTTAATTCCAAATACAGTCGACCCCCCCCTATAACGTGGATTCATATATCGCGGCAAAAAAATTGCGACCGTATTCGTATAAAGATGCTAAAAGAGACTCGTAAAATGCAGTAAAACGTCATCGCTGACTCATGTCACAACAGGATTGTTTGAATCTGGACCAATAGTAGACGAGCAGCCGAACTACTTACACGCTACGGAGAGTTTAGGCGGGTAAGTTGAGTTTATTATCGTCTGTACAGTATACAAATTAGGTACTGTAATTTTATACATTTCTTGTGAAAAAAACATTTCTTATTCAATCACCATAAAAATTATTTGTATTAATGATGTCTCCAAAGTTCAGCGAATTTTTCGCAGAAAAATAACTTATCAAAAACGTGCTTGCTGTTTGGTGTGCTGCTCCGCGACAAAAACAAACTTAAGCAATGATGTCGTCGAAGGGTGCACACTCGGTAAGTAATCCTACAATTTTTTGTTTATAGCATAGTTTATACGGATTATTTCCAAAAAAAATATACGTATTTTGGAAATGTTGAGTCAAATTAGTCTAGAATCGATTAATTATATTGAAAAAACCTTTCAAACAGCCGTAGTCCGTAAACTGCACACATGCTGGGCTGTGATTGGCTCATGTATTTAAGGATTCCTACAATGCGAAATTCTTATAAAGTGGAACGTATCTACCATGTTTTAGGGGGTTCGACTGTATAGTTAAAAGATATGAAAATCACCAAGTGTTTCAGAAAGTACACTGAGTGCCAACAGTATGCAGCCCACATCTTGCTGCATCTGTTTGTTAACAATGATATTAATTGTTTTTGTGTTCAGGTGGCAATGTTTTAAGCATTTTACACATTAACATGATAGTTTGTTACTTAATTAAAACACATAGGAACTTTTTTCACCATGAAAAAAGTTGAAAAAGCCATCAGTTACCTTTGAATGTCATCTTTGAGAAACATGCATGCTCTTTATTATAAAAAAAAATTTTTCTAAATTTTGTTCCCATCTAATACTAAATTTCAAAAATAAGGTATTAGGCTGTATGAGACAAGGAGGCTAAGCATCACCCCTTAACTTCAAATCCTTGTAACTTTCACAATTTTCATGATTGCACTTTTGGTCACCTCTTTTAGCTAAAATCTTTTTATTTTTTTTACCTAGAATTTGAACATGTAATAAAAAGTGGGTGTTTGAAAAATTGAAGTTATCTACAGAGAATCCAATAGCACATCGACTTGTGTTATCCTCAGTATGGTACAAAGCATGTCTAGAACATTTTTTTTTCATAGGATGTAAATTTCTCCAGATATCAATTAAAATGGAACCTCCCATTTATATATATAATCGAGATGTTGATAATGATAATAATAATATGTACAGAGCCTAAATGGTTAGGAGTTGAAAATTGAAATTGGGTACACAAAGGGATTATCCAAAATCCCCCCTGCAGGGGAGAGGGTTAATTACTGATGTTAAACTTGAATGTCTGTTTTTAGAAAATTTTAAATTTTGAATTAATTCATTCTTTGGAAAGCAATGTTATATGGACCAAACTAAATTTCTTTATCTTTTTTATTTAATATGTAAGTTTTCCAGCTCATTCTATAAGTAAAATCCAGAAGTTTCTGCCATGTTTAATTTATCATTACAGACAACTTTTAAGAAATTAATATTTCTCTATATTATTTCCCTGTTGTTGTCAAGAAGAATTATGATATCTGTTTTGATTAGAGAAAATCTGATGCATATGGGAGGTGGGAACCAGCTTATATTTCAAATATAACAAAAACTTATGAGATCAAAACAAAGCTTTTTAGAAAAACATTTTCTTTCTTCTTAAATTTTAAAATTAAGTAAAAGTTAGAGAAAAATAGTGAAAATTCTGTTGTATTACATGAAGATAATACTTAAAATCTTGGGAAAAAACAGGAGATAGGTCATGAAATTGAAAAAAACATGTTTGACTCTACAGAACTATGAGGAATGATAGAGATTTATTGTCATTATACTGTATATCTTTGTCAGCAATAAAAATAACAATCAATGCAACAACTACATATTGATGTGGATGAACACAATGTGGCATACCACATCTGGCAAGATTACAATGAAAGTAATTGAAGAAGACACTGACCAATAATGCTGAATTGCTGTGACATTCCTGGAAGTGTTGGAATGTAAAAAAAAACTTTATCATTGCTGAAAGCTTCTAAATTTTATAGAATGAGCTGAAAAATTACTGTGTGAAATGTCAGGTATACAGAAATTTTTTTTTTTATCCATGAAAATAACTCTAGAATTGGAGCATAAAAGTGTTTTAGAACTTTAAATAACTAACTTCTAAACATTATAATTCAGTTATCAGTGCTTCAGAAATATTCTGCTATGACAATTGTTTATCTTTAATTTTTTAGTATTCAATTTTAGAAGTTTTTTTTAATCAAGAATGAACTTGTTTGAAAATGTTCAAGATTTCATGTTGTTCTGAAGTAAAATATATTTAAGTAAATAAATACTATAATTATACAATTTATTTTAAACGAAACTTGATTTCATCTGTGTAATCATTCAAAAAAATAATAATAATAATAATAATAATAATGTCTAAGTATTTAAGATAAAAATTAAATTTTGTTTAGTAAATTTTTTTAAATGAGACTTTCTATAAATATTATAAATCATTTACTATTATTAAAACAAACTATTATTCACATAAGAAATTTTATTATTATTGTAGAGATGACAACGCCCAAAAATCCACAAGATCAGTTTTTACCATCAGATATTCATCCACCACCTCTTGAAAGAGAAATAATTGAATTAATGATTGAAGATGGTCAGTTTGATGATGCATTCTAAGATATTTAAGAAAAATTTTTAAAAATTATGTTTTTATGTTTTAATTCTTTTATTTTTTAAAATAATTTAAATTTTAAAAATGTGAAGCTACAATACAGAGTGTATTATACATTTTAAATTAAATTATATATAATTTAGTTTTCAAAATGCTGAATGACAATTTTTATTTCAAATTTTGGATAAATTGGACACATTTTTTTATAAAGCAATGAACAATAGTAATAAAAGTTACTTTTGTGAATCTCTGTGCATTTCTTTTGATGTCATCTTTATTTTCTTGAATTCTATCTAATTTTAAAGATTTTTTTAATGCTAATTGTTGAAAAGTTGACTGTTATAATTTTCAGAAAGCTTTTTCTAACTGCTTTTGAGTATCCAAAAAAATATCTCATCTGTAATGGAATATTTTATACAGTAATAAAGGTAAGAATTTCCAAAGTTTCAAAAATCAAACAAATATAAAATATCTGAGACATTATTGTTTCTGTCTTTGGTTCCAGTAAGGTACTTGTTATAAATTTTTGTGTTGGAGAATGGATTATGCTCATAATTTGAGGGATTGGTTTTATGATAATTTCAGCTTACTGTTTTACTTACTGTGTATGATGTCAATGATGAATAAAATGACAACTTCTGCTGACAAAAAAAAATATCCAATATATAATTTCTGACAAAAAAATAAAGACAAATCTTATTTGAATGATTGCTTTTTAATAATATAGAACTTAAAATAGTACACCAGGATTAGATCTAAAGTCCTGCTACAAAAAAAATGTTCTTTGATATTCATGATATTCAATCAAATAATCTCAGTATTATAAATTTATTTGAAGTCATTTGTGAAAAATTTGAGTCATATTATTAAAAATGGGAGGTGGGAACAACTCCCCATTGTCTGTATTTGGTTATGCAGTTTAGTGACTGCTAAATTTCAGTATAAATTTATTAACTTAAATCACAAATGATTACTTTGGTTTTTTCAATAGTATAATAATATAAAATGTACAGTATCATTACATTTTCATTGCAGTCTGCTGAATATTAAAGAAAATGCAGTTTCTATACAATTTCTAATAGATGATGATATTCAAACTTATCTTTTAAAGACCTCATTAAGTGTTTAGCATTACAAACTCCAATTACCTACTAATTAAACATCATGCTAAAAAGTATGGTTTGATATATAAATAAGTTCTATAGTGTTTCAGTGTCGTTTGGAAAAATTGGTTCAGGTTATTTGGATGGATCGGAAATGAATTTTTCCCTTAAGAAATAGTGGAAAAAATTTTCTGACATTTGAATATACCATATTTACTCGAATATGAGACAACCTCACATATAGGACGAGGTGCGACTTTAAAGATCAAAATAAAGAAAATTAGATTTATTAATACAATTCTAATTTTATTTCGTTTAACCACAATAAAATATCAAATGCACACATTGTCCTGCAAAAGTTACTGGCATTTTAAACTTTAAGGAAAAATCTTTTACATAATTTGTTCATGTAAAGCTGGACAATTGGGAATCTTTTTTTGCCAATTCTTAACAGTTGAATCCACTCTCCGTCGATTACACTTATGAATTTCTCCGAGTTATGATTTCCGAATAAGCATCTGTTTTCACGTGAGAATGGATTAAAACTTATATCGTGCTCCTGTGTGATTTTGGAATTTCAATCTGGAATTTAATTCAAAAGCTTTGCTTTTCCTATTGCTATTCATCTTTACTCCCAATAATATACAAGAATGATTCAAATGACCCAGATAAAATACTTATGTTTTTAAATACAAGAGAGTAAGAACATCTAGTAAAAAATGCAAATACACTGTTCACAAAAATTATTTGCAAAAACTCAAAGAATCTTTTGCTCGCACGTATAGGACAACCCAGGAATTTGAAGCTGTGATGAATGAATTAAAAGCTCGTCTTATATGTAATATGGTATTTTTCAGGAATGCATTAGATTTAAATAATAAATTATGGCTTTACTTTTAATATAATGCTATTATAATCAATGGTTATTAATGACAATAATATCACATGAATCAAAGTAATAAAATGAACTGAATTATTATTCATAGAAAAATAACACGAGAAAATCTAAGAAGCACTTTATTAATAAACAATAACTTACACTTCATATATAAAAAATAAAATTGTGTATAATAAAACAAATTTGTGTTTGTTTTTTATCACATGCTGACTAGATGATTGTGTGGCCTTTTTGTTTTGCTGGGAACTGAATCTATTATTTTATGTAACAGAAACAAATGTGTCCTTCATAACTGAAATTGATTGGTTATATTGCCTTGCATTTCATTTGTTCTCTCAGATAATAATGAATTATCTAATTTATTTTCCATGGCAAGGGTTTTAAAGTGCTGTAAAATATTAAAATAAATATTAGTTTTGTGCTAACATTGATTTAAATACAAATATATTACCTGTGAATTCTTAAATTCAGAATATAAAGTGAACAATACATGGAGAGACTGTATTTTGCTTTTATACACTGGAATATCTAAGATACCTATAGAAATAATAATAAATATTTTTAGTAATGTTTTTAACTTTTTTCTAGTTAAACTTTCAGAGAATTTATCTAAAATTTTTCAATCTTTTAATTTTTCTAAATCAAAGTATTTGATAAAATATGAAAAAATTAGTATTTAAAACAAAAAAACAAGTAAAAGTTATTGTGACATTGTCACGATGCTGGGCTGCAATTTTTAATCATATTTTAAAATTTATTTAATTTAAAATATATGATCTAGATATCATATTATTAGTGTCTTGCCCCTGTATATCATACATTTCCTGACAACAACAGAGTCATGCAATCTCTGTTCTGGGAAGAGTTTTCAAATTGAAATCACTTGAATTCCGGTCTATAATGGAAGTTTGTATTCAGTTAAAGTAATTCCTTCCCTTAATTAATTAAGCTTTCCATATCTTGTCTCAACTTTCATCTATCTAACACCATTCTTGAGATTAAGGAAGACAGACAGACATGACATTAGATATTTATAATATGTTTACAATTTTTTCAATTACAGCCCAAAAAGGGAAAGAAATAATAATTTGCAGACTATGCATATGTCTTTCACTATTATCTGTACAAAATGTTACAAAATAATTATGCTTAAAATTACAAGAAAAATATTAAAAAATTTAACAAAATGTTTTCAAGACATTTATCATTCATTACTGTAAATACAAGGTCTGTTCAAAAAGTATCGGACCTTTGGTCGGCAAAAATAAATTTATTGACTTTGAGGTACAAAACCCTAATCCCCTTCAAAGTAGTCTCCTTGGTAATGTATACACTTCTCCCAGCGTTCCTGCCATTGCTGGAAACACTGCTGGAACGCATCTTTTGGAATGGTCATCAGCCGGTCCGTCGCATTTCGCATGATGTCTTCTCTCGACTAAATTTGGGTTCCTTTTAGCGGCATTTTCAGCTTGAGAAATAGCCAAAGGTCACACGGAGCCATGTGGAGAGAGTACGGAGCGTGACGAACCACAGGAGTATTGTGTTTGGCGACGAAAGCCCGAATCAGATGCGCAGAATGGGCGGATGCGTTATCACGATGGAGCTGCCAAGTTTTGATCGACCACAGATCCGGTCGTTTGCGTCGCACTGTATCGGAAAGACGACGAAGGACCTCCTGGTAGTACTCCTTTGCGATGGTTTGGCCTTGTGGTGCGTACTCACGACACACCACCCCACGAGAGTCGAAAAAACTGTCAACATGACCTTTGATATTGCTGCGGACCTGCCGCGCTTTTTTTGGCCTCGAGGATCGTCCCCGAAAGCCTGCTGAATCTTGCGAATGGTTTACACTCGGGTATCGCCAAGGTTTTTGGCAAAATTTGATGTAATATCGCTGCTCACGTTGTTCAGTCATTTTCCAGCTTAGTGGAATCCGACGAGAGCGCACTACATGACCTCACTCATAGGCCGATTGCCAACGACTGACGCTTCCTGCAGGCGGGAAAAAATTCAGGGCTGTGCATGACTGTCCCCTCCACAACTCCACCGAAGGAGGCCTCTCGCGCATCATTGGTTTACGCAGGAAAAAAAAAAGGTCTGATACTTTTTGAACAGACCTTATATAAATAAATATCTTTTTCTTCATCACATTAAAAATTTTAGCTCAATAACTGATTTACAATCTAAATTTGTCCAATGTACAGTTTTTCAACCATTATTCTGTGACACTACTACCTGTAGTGTTCTATTATGAGCCTTACAAGAGCAAATATAAATATATTTTATAATCAAGTATTAATTGATGTGGAGCATTAGTGAAGTCTCTTCTATGCGACTTACAGAATTGTGTTTGTTCTCAAAATCTGTTCAATCAATTTTGATTAAACTTTGCTATTTTTCATTAATTGCATTGAAGAATTCAAAAATGTAATAAAAGCTGGGAGTCCGTGACTATGTTTTTTAGATTTAAGATTGTTTCATGAGTGTGTACAACTAATTGATGCCATGCGATGTTCTACGGTCGCTTGCATGTCTTCTATGGGTTTCACTGTAGAATTGAGTTTGCTTTCAAAATTTAATGGGCTGATTTTGATAAAACTTTGTCATTAATTGCAATGAGGAAAGTAAAAGTGTAATGAGGGTCCATTTAAATGAAAAAATAGGAGTCCGTGACTTTGTCACTTTAATACTTCTGTATATTGAAAACAATGTCCATACTTTCTAATGTGACTGAGCATACCTAATGGAATTTATGCCTAGGGGTCAAAAATAAAAACAGCATTGCATGTGCCTAATGGAAAATAGGCATGAAAAATGAACAAAATACAAGAACAAAGCAATCATCATCTTGTTCTTGGATCACCTCTTTCTGTTACTCAATGCAAGGATAGCTTCTTTCTTTCTGGCTTGCCTTAATTCTATTGCAATATGACAAAGTTGCACAATGTCCTAGTTTATTTAATTTTTCTAACAACAATATGGTTTACTTAAAATTTATTTTGATATTGTGATTTGTGTTAAATATTCATAGCTGATCATTTTCTATGGTAATTAATTAAAAAAACCCCTTTAGTTCCTTACCTGAGTTAACTCGGGTAGGTTACATAGCGTTACAGAAAACTTGTCCTTTCACTCCTAAAAAACTTTTTCTTCTTCAATTTTTGGATGTTTTTAGGTCTCCAAATTTTTTCAAAAATTTTTACCCGTGCGAAAAAATTTTATCACGATTTTAATCTACCTTTAATGACGCATGATTAACAATTAATTGTTTTTTAATGGGAGTTTGATATCAAATTTCATTCATCGTTCTAAAGTTCTAGTGCACGGATTTTCCTTCGGTAAAGTTATTTAAAGCTACTTTCTGATATCAAAAACGACCTCCAATAGTTTTTTAATTTTTTTAATTAATANAAGTTATTTAAAGCTAGTTTCTGATGTCAAAAACGACCTCCGATAGTTTTTAAATTTTTTTTAATTAATATATTTTATTATATATATGTTTAATTAAGTTGGGGGGGTCGGAAATCGCAATAAAAATTTGAATTTTTTAAAAATATTAAAAAATATATGGCCAGCTAGTATTCACACCCTACTATAAACTTTTCGCCTCCCGAGACTTCTATGAAAATGTCCCGGGAAGTCCAACACCAGCTGTTCTCAAGGTCACCCAGCTGTAAACACAATGACTCATTGGTATCAGATTTCACAGAAAGGTGAAACAATGTAAAATAAAGTTTGAAGCTTTTTCTTCAAAATTATCGCATTTCTTTCATTTTTTTCAGTTTTAAGTATTTTTTATGTTTAATTACATTAATATTAAAAATTGGTGGGAACTAAAGCGATTAAAAAGAAATGAAGAAAATTTCCATTGTAGAACTTCATAAACTGGACAATAATTAAATTTCTGATACTGAAAGATAAATACAGGTAACTCCCGTATAACATGGGAGTTATGTTCCAAAAAATTGCCGTGTTATGCAAATCCATGTTATACGAAATAAAGAACTAGTACAAAAAGGGGAGTTAGGTTCCAAAAATTAAAAAAACATGCTATTATATTTTCATAATTAAGATAAATATCTTTATTAAAATTTTCTTAAGTGATACATATTAATATAAATTAAACAATGTTTTCTTTGTCAATACTAAGTACTATTAACCGAGGGCAGTTTTTTTTGGCAAGATATCATTATCCTCTGAGCATTTTTCTGCATTATCTTCAGACCCATGCTCTATCTTTTGCAAAAAATATGTTATTTTAGATTGCTTGCTTTTAGTTAAAAGATCTTTATAAATTTCTTTATATGGTGCTAAGCACTTATGAAGAATAAAGCAAGTATGGAATAAGGAGAAAACATCTGGCAACACCAAAATCAGAAGCGTTGAGATGAGATCTGGAAACACTGAAACAAGTTTTGAGAAGGACCACGTGTATTGACAGAAAGAGGGAAAAGAAAATTTACATACTTAAGTACTAATAGTTCACAAAAATTATTTTTTTGTGAACTATTAGTACTTAAGTTTTTGTAAATTTTTTTCTTTTTATGTTGTACGAGGGTTTTACCCAATTCTCGAACTGTGTTAGAGTGAATCCGTGTTATAGAAGTGCCATGTTATATGGGTGTTACCAGTATATATATTCATGTTAATTATATTCACCAAAACTTTGCAAAATCATAGCCAAAATATTAAAAAAAAACTTTAAATAGACTTAAGATAGGTTCCCACTGTGTGTGATTTTGTGCAGCAAAGTAGATCTATAGAGACTATGGCCTTGCACAACAATCATTTTACAGATGTCAAAATTATAGAACAAAACACACAGAGCTAAGTCTTAAATTTTGAAAGATAAGGATGCTTATGGATAAGTATCATAACCAACAGCCAACAGAAAACGTTCTCTGCTATAATAGCTTGTAATAATTACCTTGTTGAGTTATTGAATAAAAATCCATGTTTATATAGATCAATGATTCTCAACCACGAAAATCTTGTGCCACACTAAAGTGCTGCGAGATTTTCTAAATATGCCACCACTGCGAATACCCATACATAAGCGACGTCAGACAAGTAGTTCAATAAGTTCTACCTTCTAGGGCACATTTGGAAATTGTAACCAGTGTTTCCAGTAACTGCCAGTAGTTATCAAAGCATTTAGAAAATATGACCTAAATAACCAACCGCATTTAAAAATCACTGTTGTGGCGTCACCAGTACTTACTGAAGTAACCGTGTGTGCTGCCAAATTTTTAAATTATTAAAAGTGTACTTTGACAAAAAAAAAAAGTTGATAATCACTGATATAGATAATAAGACTGATCTAAATGGCATAAAATTAAATTCAATCAAAATTGTTATTCATGACAGCTTTTCTGACTGGATAACTTAAAAGTCAAATATTGGTATATTTGAGTGGCAGTAATTTTACTATAATTTAGTCTATATTTTTTTTATTTTTCTCTCTTATTATATCAATGAATTGTTTATTATTGTTTATGAACATTGTATATTATTATTACAATTAAAGATAGTTCATT